AGAGCGGTACACGTTAAACGTAAAAAATAAATAAGCCATTATGGTTGGTGCGCGTGTTTATGTAAAATCGCTCGATCGTCGGGTAAGCTCTGTACGTGACTCGCGTAGTCGCGAATCAGGATCGTGTGTGGACGGTCACAGCTGAGGAAGATTGGACGAAGATTTGAGGGAGGAGTTGGGCCAGGTGTGAGAGAGGATCGGTGACAAAGATCGTAGGACAGATGCGAGAGAAAGTGACGTAGTAGGCAAGCGGAGAAGGTGGAGACACATGCACGCTTGTCAGGGTACAGAACAGACTCGAGCTTTTCAAGCTTACGACGGAGTAGGCGCGCACCTCAGGCTCGAGGACAAGCACCGACGTCTCTGCACGCTTGTAAACACTGGCGATAAGGTGAGACGAGGCTGCGAGATGGAGTACGAGGCTTGAATAGAGGCTGATCGAGAAGGAGGAGAGAGGAAGGAAGCGTTGGAAGAAGAACAGGTGAGGAAGAGGAAAGTTTGCGTGGCGCGTGAGGGCGCCCAGGCCCCGGCGTCGGGGCTGGCGTCGGGGCTGGCGCCGGAAATGGTGTTCGCGGCGCCACCATCGAGAGAGCGATCGTCCTCGAGCCTAATATTATCGTTTGGACCCGCGACACCTGCACTTGATCGCGCGCAGGCCGCGTTAACTTAATCTTAATTACGTAAACAAAATGACGATACATGCTTGCACGATATTTTTACTTCCATCGTATACGCGTTTAATAGCGGGGCAATTACATCATAAGAGACCTTATCGACGTTTAAACGACGCAGTTTCCATTGACTTGGATGAAACGCTGCCTGGCTAGACCGGCTGGGTTCGATCAAGTCGATGAAAAGTGCTCGATCGTCATTCTATAGAACTACTTGAAATGCTGTTTCTTCTACAAGATGGCGCGAGAGAATCTCGGACCACCTCGCCTGGGATGATGGTACGCATTCGCGTCTCGGGGAGAGACGTTCTTCCACGTTTGATCGTGGAGCGTGGCGAGATGGAAGGGTTGGAAGTGGACCCGTGTTGGATCGGTCGGAGGCGAGAGGGAACGAAATTCTTCATGCACTATCTCGTATGCTCTCCTATATGCGCTAGGATGATACCTCTAAGACATCGCGAGCGGCGAGTCACCCACGCTGACGCGCATGCGCGTTCGCGGCCCGCAATCTTATCGTTCGTAACGGTTTAGCCGTTCGAGCGTGTATAAAAAAATTGGCTCTACCCTCTCACCACAAAGCAAATTGGATATACTACGTGTCAGCGTTAGCGAAAAATCCTTAGCATACTCGTTAAAGTGTAAACATAAAAGTCGTTAAGCCGCTAAGTCGCTTAACGACACGCGTTAGGCACCGTCGTTGGCATCTTATCATTGTATAATATGTATACGTGTGATATTGATATTATTATTATACCTTTTTTTTGTCTTTTTCTTTTTCTCGTTTTTATGTATAAAACTGTATAGCGAACGAGGCGAGAAGAGCAGCGTAGATTCGGCGGCGGGGGAGGGACAGTGCTTGGAGCAGCGGCGCGGATCCGTTCGCACAATAGGTCCAGTTAACGTGCTCTAATGGCCAGAGAACTACGTCACACCCATATCCCATGTTTTCAATCAATGCCATTCGATTCAAAAGAGAAATTCCATTTAGCCTCGCGTTTCCATTGTACCGAGTGAGAGAAAGCCTAGCAATCTCCACGGCAATTAGTACCAATAATTAAAGCGCGCGTCCTTTCAACGCGAATTCAATATCTCCGACCGGTGACATTTTTTCCCTGCGTTTCACCCTCGTTTTTGTCCGCCCGTCAGGAGCGTTGTCACGCCTCGGATTACCGCGAGAGAGAACGAACCACGCGTGTTTCCCCGTTATACAAAATTATACCCCGTGGAATCGCGACGAAGCGATCGGAAATTCACCGACCGAAGGTGTATACATCGCGTACACGACCGACCACACGGCTCCAAGTAGGGGGTCACAGACCAGGCACGAATCCCGTTCACGATGGGGCAAGAAACGTCCCGACTATCATCGAGTGCTCGCAAAAGAGAGAGAGTGAGAGGGGGGAGAAACTCCGGATGGTTGGCGTGTTTGTCGATGATAGGACAAATGTCGAACAGAGGAACGATTCCAAGTTCGGCTAACTGAAACGCAAACCTACCATGCTAATCGGAGCCCTCGCACTTCGCCCGTCTTTATCTATCTCTTTCGCTCGCCCTCGCGGCCTCCCGGACCGCTTGTCCCGACCAGCGTATTCAAATTTTCAAGTTTCTCAATTAACCCGATCCCTTCCCGAGAGCCCTTTGTGCCCGCGAAATCGATACAGTTCTACCGGCAACGCGGCTAACCGATTTAAATTTATCCAACGTATCGCGCGCCCTCTATCCCGCGTGGTGCGGCGCGCAAGCGATCCTCTGTCATAGATCCGTTCTCCCTGGTCGCAGTTTCACTTTGGCCCACGTTAAAATATCCGCGGAACGAAACTTCCAGAGCACCCCAGTTTCGGGCAAGTTCGACCGTAAGGCTTGTTATGTTAAACAGCGATCCTCGGCGAAATGTAACCGATCCGGGTGCTACCGTCTATCTAGCCCCTAGCCCGTGCATTGTGCCGCGACGTTTGCACGTTGGATCTATGTTTCGAAGTTAAGATCGACTAACCGTTATAACTTTCCCTGCAACTGGTATATTTGAGCCGGGATTCGCTCGGAACCGCGGCTCGGAAAACGTCAGAATAACTTCTCTAACGTAAACCTTCGTCCGCAGCCGTGATAGCAGTTAGCCAATTTTCGTAATCCCGCGAGTTGCCAGACGAGGGGTACTATACGCGATATGTCGGGTAAATGTTTCAAATGGAACTTGCGTGGATATTTCGTTTGGAATCGTCGGCTGAAACTGGTACACTTTCTCTAGTACCGTCTATCGCCGCTAGAGTTCGTTCACCTGTCGAGATCTTGCATCGGGATATTAATAGCTTTGTTTACGCAAGACGTAGCGAGAAGGAAGGACGAGTGGGTAGCACCTAGGCACAACTTCAAAGACTCGTCCCGCTGATTACACACGACTCGTGGCCATCGGAGCACGTAGGTCCAGATTGATAAGCTCGCGTGTCGCGATGTAAATTAACCCGACCGGACATGGATGGCCGAAAGCTGGCCATAAGGTTAAGTCGAAAAGGGATGGCGGTTATACGATCCCTGCTCTAGGGTGGCTATCCTTGATGCGATCCAACGCCGTTCGCTGTCTCGTTTCTCCACCCTTCTTGCTCCCGAATTCTCCTCTAACCCCACGAAGCTTAGCTTAACCCCGAGACGCCACAAGAGGCAATTAACCTTCCGCCAACCCCTTGACGCGCGTTGCACCCCCTCCGTGTGCCAGTTCCTATTGCTGTCTCCTACTGCTGTCTCCCACTGTTTCCAGTCGTTCCGTTCCAACCACCTTGCCACCCTGTCACCCTCCCAAACCCGGCTAGAGCCCACCCTTACTCTTGTTGATATCCCACTTGGAGCATCTGCATAATCATGCTCGATTCCCAATGCTAATTAGAGTCCAGGCTGGTGCCCTACCCGACGTAGCAAGTACACGTCGACCTCCGTCACCTTTGGAAACCACGCCTCGTTCCCGCTTCGGCTTATTTCGCTTTATCCTGTTTCGTTTCACGTACGACCGGCAGGAAAAACTGGAGTATGGAAGAGGGGGAAGGAAACGTCGCAAGAAAACACAGGGAGATTATGCGCTGTTATGAATGAAGGATGACGAAGCTGCGAGATAATCGATCGAGCCGGCCCCTTTGATCGCTTAATTGCTCCTGCTTGCTACTGTGTGTAATTAGTTCCCCCTCTATCGCCGCGATTGTTCGTCAAACTGTTCGGGACTTCCGTTTTAATTCGACGCCGATTCGACCACTCTCTCCCCGTGTCGGATTAGCTAACCCGTTAGCGGATCGTTACACCGCGCGTTCTCCGACGATCCCGAACAAAACCAGAGGGGGAGATTCATTCCTGGTAATTGATGAACATGGAGATTTTATTGTGTATATACGCGTTTCATGCCGTTTAGTTCCACGTGTTACGTTAATTGACGTCTGTCATGCGGAGGAACTGCAAGAAAGGTGTTGTAAACGATGCATCATCGTTTCGCCGATCTAAAGAAGTAATCAGCAATCGCAGAAGGCTACTGTTCCTCTCGCCGATATTTCTTTTCCTCTTAACGTATTCGTTAAATGAAATTACTATCCAGTGCTAGCGTCTTTTTTCTCCAATTTACCAACCAGCCATGACTATCGAAGTTACCCAAGCGAGCTAAACGAGCAGCAGCCGCGTAGCTCATGCAGGATCGATCGTTTATCCCTGGTAGCAGGAAAGGGGAAGTATGCACGCGATAATTCTTATAAGGTAAAGAGAGCACGAAGATGTCGTCGACCAGACGGGCAGCTTTCGTCCAGATATTCCACGCTTCGTTGTTCCAAAGATTCCTCTCTGACTGCCCGATCGCATCGATTTCAGACTTACCGAATACTCTAGAAGATTTGCACGGATCCCGATTGCTAGGCAACGAACTGGCTGCCCCAGGAATTAACATTGTCAATTGGACCCCTCCAGCGCGGCCTGTCTTTCAGAGATCGTCTCCCGGACAAATTTTTATACTCCTGATACTCGGATATGCGAATTTCGATCAAGTTCCTAGCAAGTTCCCGATGATCTACCAAAGGACCAGACATTAATCGGACGTTGCGAACGGTTTACTCGTAAGGGATCTCTGAGCAAAGTCGGCTGGAGGTTGACGACGTAGGCAGCGTAGGAAGACGAGAGATTGAAGGACAGGGAGAGGAAACGAAGGCCATTCAAAAACGGCGCGCTGAATATCCGGTGTCGTACAACTTACAGAGGCTGTCGGTGCGTCCCGGGACCGAGTGCATCCCGGGCACGGAAACGGAGACAGAGAGGGCTTCTTGATGCTTGAGCATCTGCCGACGTCTCTGCCAGGTGAAGGTCGACACCGCGATGATAGCGATCTGGGCAACGAGGAACACGGTCCCAGCGACGATGGCCTCGCCGAAGTTGATGCACATGCCCATCGTCGACGATATGTCCTCGCTCTCGACGAAAACGGTGTCCCTGGTCGCTGAGCTGGCGTTCGATGTCTTGCTGTCGTGCTCGAATCCGAACTTGTCCGTGATCTGGATCGATTGTACCAGCAGCAGATCCTCGCGGCTCTGGGAGCTGGGACTGGTTGAGCGACGACGACGACGTTTGCCGAAGGATATGACGGAACGCAGCTCGCCTGTGGCCTCCTCTTGGTCGCACTGCACTGGCTCGCAGGTCGGCATGCAGGGTGTCACCAGAGCGCGGAACTGTACTACCTCGGAGCTTGGGAATTTGAAGGCGTCGAAGTGCGACAGTAGAATCTGAAACGAAGAGATGGAAGATTCGTGAATGCAATGAACTATGTACACGTGTAGTTCTTGTTCTGTTATATAGGTCTCTTTGTAGTTAGTAATTATTGCAACCTTCTGATATTATTTAATTTTTATTTTGGAATAAATTATTGGTGTAGGTCTGTGTCTGTGTATTGACACAGGATTGATTCTGTCAGGTTTGATACCTCATAGACTTTAATGTCTGGGAACATTACAGTTTCTCTCTTGGGCAAGATCAGCAATCGCGATTTCTGAGTCTGTATATCGACGAGAAGTAAATGATACGGATTTCAGCTGTATGTTAATTAGACTTGTCTCGAATCAGAGAAATTTTACCACGTTTGCGTAATAATTGATCTCTACGAAATTTTGATTCAGTGGAGTATTTGAATCTTCAAGACTTAACCCTTTGCACTCGAGAGGTTACCTTCAGTCACCATTTCAGAAAATTTGGAAGATCGATATTAATTAATATATCAAAATTAATGGAATGTAACAGTGTGCGAGGCATCGAAGTCAAATAATTCTACGATTCTTTATTTACTGCTCAAAAAAGTATTGGCAGATTTTAGTAGAGAATCTTTGAATTTCTACTCTTCCTTAGCCAAAAAATCGTCGAGTGCAAAGGGTTAATTAGGCTTAATGATAATAGTCTCAACCTCAAAGGTCTGCAAGTGTAATTGAAAATTAATATTGAGTCTCTAGGAATATTATGAATTTCATGAAAATATTTAAACTCGAAGATAATTAATTTTTGAGCGTTTTGAAATTTGGAAATTATTTAAATCTTTTTTTAAAATCGTCGATTTTGTATTACGGAAAAGATTTTGTATTACGCGGAAGGTACGAAGTTCGTCTAGTGATAAATTGATAGCGCGAACTTAAGTTCAAGTTTATATTCATTTCGCTGTAATATATCACCTTTCCTCGGCAAATTTCCGCGCTCATCAAAACGGATCAAGGAATACGTATATGCAACAGTAGCAGATTTCATGGATCGTGAAAACGATCAAGGGAAGGGGGATAAAAATGCTGTACTTCCGGTGGATCTGCAAGTCACGCTAGGAATTGTTTCATGCCGTTATTCATCATTAAGATAATACGTCAACAGCTGTGTCAAATAACCTCTCCGGAAGCAACAAAGACTTTTGCTTATTCCATATGCGAGGTACCGTTCATAGAAATAGCCTAAGTGCTGTTAGACACTGTTCCTCGTTTCCCTCTGCTTATCCCTCATTGTATACTTAAATCCTTGTTTGAATACAACCCAACGCCACGTAATTTTCATCTAGTACCAAAGACGCGTCACGATTGCATCGGATATGAAGAAAGACACAATTCGCCGATCATGCAGCTTTAAAATGTATAATTCCTTCAATTTTCCATCGAGTTGAACCTGACGACGTGACGAATGCAATCAGCGAGCCTGAAATTGTCATACGTTTTATCCTGTGTATCTATGATCAACGCAGGAACTATCAATCTCTCGTGTAGCTAAATATACTATACAAGGATGATAATAATTGCAGTGGCTTGCTGAGAATAAATAGGTACACGTAATGACGTTTTTAGCTGAATGAAATCACTATTAATTCTATCAAAGTAATTTTGTCATTTAAACATTTTTAAAATAGTATGTCTCTAATTACTTTATTCGATTTGGTATTTTTAGCACCGGATGGAGGATACAGGAAGCTAATATTGATTGGGGTTTCTTCACAAGATCAGAGGTATTTGTCCCCGTGAATATAAAAATTTTGAGAAAACGTAGGATCGTTTCTTGGACCCTTTCGTTTACGTTCATCGAACTCGTTTAATTTTTATATACTACACCCTCTGTGTTAAATCTTTAACCATTTCGTTATTACGGGTGACTATGGTCACTAACTACGAGACGCCACCTACACACGACGGGTGACTATGGTCACTAACTACGAGACGCCACCTATACACGACGGGTCACCACAGTCACTTGCCACAAAAATTAAGACAAGTGCTATCGTTTCGTTTAACTCTCTTCGCAAAGAATTGTAAGCGTTATTATAATTCGTACAAAGAACTATAAGCGTTATTATAATTCTTACAAAGAACCATAAGCGTTATTACCGACATAAGTTATGGTTGGTTTCTCTTTCCTCTTTTCTTTTCCTTTTTTTTTTTTTTCTTAAAGACTTGGTCCCGAATACTAAAACCTGAACGTGTATAATGCTTCCTTCTTTAGTACGAAGCTTCCTTCTACGGGAGGGACTCGACGACGAGACCTGTCGTAGCGAAAGAGTTAATCGAACAATATTTATTTCTTCAAATATAACATTCACAAAGAAGAAATCAATTCCTGAGCTTCCATTCCATAAATGAGTATAACTCACATATTATACAGCTTTCAAATTGTACAATTTCCTTAATTTCCTATTCACTGAAACCTGTCAACGAGATTCACGTAATTAGGATCCCTGAAACTGTCATACCTCTCATTTCGTGTCGCTATAGTACATATTAGAACTGTCAATCTGAAATGTATATATTATATTTTTACTAATTTCGATTAATTTCTAAACAAAGAAATACGATAGTAAAATATTCTCATCCGAAAGTTGACACACCTATGTGTCACGCGACTAGAATTTAAATTCAGAGCACGAAAGGAAAGCGATAGGCTAAAAATAAAAAGCTGTACGTAACAACGTTTCCATCCACACGAGAGCGAAGCTTAATGCTCTGAAACGCGCAAGGAAGCGAAGGATAAAACGAGATATCGCGATTCCGTACACCTGGTGTTAAAGTTATAAGTAGCACTGACTCAAATTTTTCTTGCAACAAGATTATATGCTTGTTCTTATAAGCGGTAGTAGATCGGAGAAGCTTAGGATCGATTCTTCAACCCTCCAGTCGGCGTTCATCGAACTCGTTCAATTTTCATACACATTCGCTGCACCACGGTCGATATTCAATCAAGTTTCTTCGAGTAAAACATGAAACCATTTATCCCCGACATAACCCGTCGAGCTGCTGGACAAAGTATTTCTGTATCTTCGTAAATTACGGGAACATCCTCCGGGAGCGGTGGGCTCGTTGCAGCTGCCTGTATCTAGGGAAAAACCGTGGAGCGTTGGCAGAACACAGGGGTATCGCGTAACGCGTGTACCCCAGAGCTCGACGCACGCAATATGCGTAATAGAAGACCGCCGACAAACTGGTTTCGCCATCTCGTCTCAGCCTCGCCCCAATTTTTTGCCCCTCATTAGGTAAGGTCGTATAACAGCAATTACACGGAATTACGTGGATGAAAAACGCGGCTATGGTACCGGCTTTGTCGCTGGAACATTCGCAGGGACCTAAACCATCACGGCAAATGGCCACTTCTGGCCAGGATTTTCAAATTCTCCTTTTCCCTCCGGCTATGCCTTTAAACCTATCCTATGCACTCGTTCTCGTTTCTTTTCGGGCTGCAACCACTTCGATGATACGCGTATAAGCCTGTCAACGATAAGTATCGATTACCACCCGTGTCCCCTTTTCTTCTGGATACCTCATTTCAAGGATCCCTCGAGAGAAAACCGAGCAGGATACGGTGTCAATGCACCTAGCAGTATTTCGCTCGTCGTTGCCTCCGTGTTAACCTATGACACGATGGAGGATCACTTGGTCCGGTGTCCAGCTCTGGCTACCATCATTTTTTCCCCCCCTCTGCCGTTTCGTCCTCGAACCGGGGAATCGAGTCTACGGGCTCAGGATCGGTTTTAGCCATAAAGCGCTTAGCGCCACGCGCGTGTGCTCCTTCGAAACTGGTTTCTGCGGCATATTACCAAGTTCATCGTATTTACACACTGGGCACGTACATTATCCGAGAGGGAGGGGCGAGAGGAGTGGGCTGCGTGCAAGGGAGCGAGGGGGTGAAGTAAGACATTAAAATATGCTTCATTCCACGTACAGCTTCATTTAGCTGTTTCTTTGGCGAACGCGTCTCGCGGAACGAGCGGAACTTTATTAACTCCGTGTCAGCCAGGGCTGAGAGGCCGGCGGAAAGCCTTAGAGAACGAAGGTCAGTAAAACGCGGGAAAAGAAATACGCGGTGTATCCGTGGCATCTGGTACAGGCTGTTTCTCCTCTTCCCTTCCAAACGGGGCACAGCGACGTCCACGAACGTGACATTCGACGACGACCGCGTTTAGCCGCGTGCTCCACAGCGATGACAGTGCTCGCGTAAAACGAAGTAGACAGAGCTGTCATAAATGTACCACGCCGTGGATCAGTACGCGTCGCGAGCTACACGCTCTCTGCGCTTCTGTCCCGTTCTGTCTCGCTGCTTCCTCTGTTTTAGCGAGGTCCCCGTATGCGCCGTGGCAATAGAATGGTAAAATGGATTGCCACGTGTAGTTTTATTCATGAAAGCAATTTGGAAAAGTGGATTCGAAATAGAATTCCTCTTTTCGATCGAGGATTAGCCTTGTAGTCTTGTTCTTTCAGCCGATCACGTGTCTTCGAGATAATTATTTCTGTTTCTCATATAAATTACAAGATTTATGTTTTTATTTTCTCTTTCTCTTTTTTGACTACAGATGACGTTCGAAGATTAACTCTTCGCACTCGACGATCTTTTCGTTACAGAAACGTAGTAATTCGAAGACTTTCTGCCATGAGTCGAGAATATTTTCGAAACGGTAAATAAGAAATGCAAAATAATTTTAAGACGTTGGGTAATTTTAAATTCGACATATTAATTAACAACGATTTTCAGAATCTGATTAAATGACGACTGAGAGTCGCCTCTCGAATGCAAAGGGTTAAGTGGTTGGTTTGCTTCAATAGTTGTAGAAAAATTTGGAAGCGCAAATTGTCCAATTAATATTTACAAATGCGAATAAATGTAAACCTCCTCGATATTCTTTCTCATCGCAAATCGGAGATCGAGTCATTTCAGGTATCATAGGTGTATATCAACAGAGCGGAATAGAGTATGGAAGCCCAGAAAATTGGATATCGCATAA